TTTCCGCTGGGAGACAGGCACCTGGTGGCTGAGGGAGTGGGACTTCACAGGCGGTGAAAGTACTGGCAAGATGCTGTTGTGGGAGACGTACACAAAGAAAGCAGTTATCTGGCAAACAGATGTGGTTACTTTATTTTTAAACCTTGGTAAAAAGCATGGTAATAAATAGAAAAAAAGTGCAATATGATAGCCCATCGTAATCCAAGAGGAGGCAGTGAATCACAGAGTAACAGAATAAATTAAAATGTGGAGCCTTTACCGTTCATGAGAATTGCAGGTGGGGGCAACCACTTCTCATGTTTAACCCAAGGTGGTTTTTCTGCTTCCTTCATTAGTTAGAAGACTAAAAGTTCTAATTGTCCTAATATTTGGAATTCTCATAATTACAAGTGTGCAGGGGAAGAGTTCAATCTTTCTTCCGGAAAAATTAAGTATAGAATTTAATGTGAATGTATTGTGTGGGAATGTTACTTGTCTTCCCTTCAGCCTGTTCAAATAAGTGATTTTTCTGAAAGAGACTTTACATTGTATTAAAAAAAATACCTTACTAACTTGTTTAATGAATCAGATCCACATGGGAAATGTGCTTAGCTGTAACAGCAACAAAAACGGCATAAATAATGCTACTACAGTGTTTTCCCTTGTCAGTTTAGAGGGTGAAGAAGCTGAGGTTTTACTCTACAAATGTTGTTGATTTTCTAGGTGGGATATGTTTTTGCCTTGGAATCTAATTTACGTCAAAGTTGTCTGAATTGGTTTTTGGGTTTTTTTGTGGTTATGGAGTTCAGTTTATTGGCAGCACCATTAACACATTTTTGCAGAAGCTGTTGTAAGCAAAACTTCATTAAAATCAATATTTCTTACGTATGTTGCTGTATTTCTGCTGGTTGAGCAATACTGTGACTCATTTTTAATCAGAAAATGTAATAAGAGCTCACATTGCAGGTGTAAACTGCATTCTGTTTTCTTTGGGAGCTGAAACAAATTGTAAAAATGTTCTTTGTATTCGAAATTAATTTTGCAGTTTAGTGTTTGAAATTCATCTTAGCATTTTATTTCATTTTAGGTAATTTAAGTGATTTTCTAGCATGGACACTGTTGCCAGCCATAGTTGTCATCTTCTCCAGCAACTACATGAACAGCGCATTCAGGGTCTTCTCTGTGACTGCATGCTGGTGGTAAAAGGTGTCTGCTTCAAAGCACACAAAAATGTATTAGCTGCTTTCAGTCAATACTTCAGGTATGTGAAATCCTTTAAAAAAGTGAACTAAATGCTGTTGGTTGAGGTTTTCACTGAGAAGGGTATGTTTTTCTGGTAGTTGCAGACTGAGTGACTGTTGGAGTGTAATTGTTTGTTGAGATAAATTTGTATCAATTATTTAATCTAATTAAAAACTGTGGCAATCCTAATTTATTTTCTAGATACACATATTTAACTACTACGCTGTTTAACTTTGGCATTGTCTTGATCCTTACTTGCTTATGGTGCCTCATATAATAGATTCTGGCATGGATGTGCGTTCAATATTTCAGTATCAACAGGTAACTGTTTACAAGGAGCACAGCTGAGTACATCAGCAGAGACAGATAAAGGATATAATTGGTGAAACAATTCACATTATCTGGAAATGGATTATGTGGATTGTTTCATCAATTATATCTTCAAAATGAAATTTGAGTATATAAGTTATTATAGTATCTCTATTTAGAACAGATTCTCAGAGAGACAACATCTGTATTTTAAAGTATACAGGTGGCCCATGAAGCTACATCATTGGTTTCTTTCCCCTCTGTATAGCCCTCGCTGATCCTCCAAATTTTGGGTGATGCTAGATCTCACAACTTAGTGTTTTACATTAGTTTTGAGTCAGCTGTTAGATCAGGCAGTTTTTAGACCTTGCTTCTTGAAACATCTCTGAAGCTTGACTAACGATTCTTATGTAAGTGTCCTGTAGTGTGAAGAACTACAGCTCTGATGTTACATCATATAGTAAGAAGTCTTGTGAATTCAGACACTTCAAGGATGCAATGACAATTCAGTGGGTATTGGTTGGACTGCTGTTTTAGGCTCATGTACCTGTACTCTTAATTATTTTGCTTGGTTCTCATTCAGTAACAGCAAAAATACTTTTTCTGGATGTGAGAGAAAAGATTGAAAATCATGCCATCCTCTTGTTTACTATTATCACCCTCTCACATACTCGTGGAAAAAGATCTAATAATAAGAACTTTAATAAGGTTTACTGATGAAGTGTGATGGACAAGCTCAGTTGCCAGAAGAGAATAGTTTAGTTGACTTTGAGGACTGTCTTCTTTTTGCTAGAAAATTTCTTACGTCCTGTTTTATTTGCCGTGATAGAAGGACAAGCACTATTCTGCGTCAACCAACTTTTCAAAATAGTCCATAAATACACCACTGCACCTAATAAGTAAAGAACATTGGATAGGAAACCACAAGTAATAGGGTATGATTTCAAAAAATAGAAAAGCAACAGTTATATAAAAGATCATTTGCTTTGATTTATGCTTTAAGTGTACTGTGGAGGACTAATACATAAGACAAGTAATTGAGCAGGTTTGGGATGTTCATCTCCAAAAACACAGCAATCTAGATATGACCATTAGTGTAAAATGTTGTTTCATACCAGGCAGTCTGTTTGAGGTGTGTGTATTTTTTTATATAAAAGTGTTTGTGAATTGTTTGTGTTTGAATATTTACCTTATTTTACCAGGACCCTTTTCCAGAATTCTTCAGGCCAGAAGAATGATGTCTTTCACCTGGACATTAAAAATGTAGGTGGGATAGGCCAGATCTTGGACTTCATGTACACATCTCACCTGGATCTTAGCCAGGACAATGTACAGGCTATGTTGGATATTGCACAGTGTCTCCAAGTGCAAAATGTGCTGAACATTTGCCACACCTTTTTAAAATCTGCAGCTGTAGAGCAAACACCCAGCATGCCTTGTAATAGCATATTTTCGCTGCAGAATACTTTGACTGCCGATACTAGCTGTGCCAATGACGGTTATGGAACAAACCTATTGCATGAATGTTCATCAGACACACAAGCTAATAAAGTCTTGGCTGACCACCATTCTCAGACATCACAGTCTGTCAATCTTCATGCACCCTCAGGTGATGTACAGAAACAACCACAAGACTCCTTAGATGGCAACTGCACAGAGCTTCCATTTAAACAACCAAATTACTATTATAAACTACGCAACTTTTACAGTAAGCAGTTCTATAAGCAAAATGCTTGCTCTAATCATGAGAGAGAGGCAGAACAATCCTTTTCTTACAACACACCTGCAGAAATAAACACAGTAGAGAGTAATTCTTGTACTGTCAATCACACTGAATGTGTTCTGGAAACCTCTGATCATTTACCATCAAACTTTCTGGTTCAGTCTGTGAATGAAGCTGCTCCAGACCAAGATGCAGATAGCACGCTTATGCAGCCCACCAAACAGATGCGTCTGAAAAAGGCAATACACCTAAAAAAGTTAAATTTTCTAAGATCTCAGAAATCTGCAGAGCAGCTGCCTGAGCCTAAAAGAGATGACAGTAGAATAATAGGAGTAATTGAATCTGTAAATGAAAGTTCCATGGACATGACAAATGTTAGAGTTACTGAAGAAAAAGAAGCTGAAGATTTAGTGAATTCTGAGAATTTTGAACAAACTGTTGAAATTGAAAGATCTCAAGAGCCTTTGGAACAAGAAGGGCAATCACAGACTCTTCAGTCTCAGAGGCAATATACTTGTGAATTATGTGGGAAAGCTTTCAAACATCCCAGCAATCTAGAGCTTCATAAAAGGTCTCATACAGGTACAGTTATCAATAACTGCAGATGAAATATTGCAACGAAAGAGGATGTCTCGCAGTATCTGTTAATTCAGAGATTCTGGTTAAGGGTCTGCTTTCAAAAGGTTGTGGTTTTGGTTTTTTTTTTTTTTTTTTTAAATGAATAATCATACAGCAATAAAGACCTTAAGACTGAGTTTAGGTGAGAGTTTTAGTTGTATTAAAGATTTCTCCTTCATACTTGTTTTTTTACGGTTCTTTTTAAAGAATGTTGTGTGATATTTCAATGAAAATTTAATTTTTGTCTTGCATTTAGAAGTGGCATTTCTTGTCAGTTTGTCAGATGGCCCAGAAGTCCAAGTCAGATAATGAAAAGTGTAAATAGATAGCAGATGATACAATAAGTGTTGTAGTCAACCTCAGTCCTCTCTGATACTCATTGTGAGATACAAGTGATTAGGGCTTGGTCATAATTTATTTTTAACCCATAGAAATATGCTCTATAATTATTTTATACTTTTTTCCTAGTGTAAACAACTTTGTGTTTACCTATAGAGTAATGTTCTTGTAGACAAGTAGGCTGCAGAGTGAATGGGAATTTTGAATTAATTTAATTTGTTTTAAAACCTTACAGGTGGTATTATTTTTAAACATAGCATAGATTTATTTCTAAGTATCTTTTTATTCTAGTGAAAAACAGGACCTAGTCTTACTTTGAATTAACTAATATGTCTGTTCAATTTAACCAGCATGTTCTATTATATTTCCACAACTTTAGATATGTTTTTTTAAAAGGGATTTTAAGAATTACGTTAGCTAGTCAAGTAACGCCATTGATTCCAAGTCCATGAGTTGGCATTACTCCCAGTTAAGCTGTTGAATATTTTTTGCCTTTCTTTTTCCCCTATATTGAATATACAAATGCATATGTGGTAGCCTGGTTGTCAAGAAAAAGCACATGTGAATTTCTCTGTCCCTGAACACTAGGAACTACTAAAGAATTTACAGGTTTCCATGGCTGCACTGATGAGTTGTCTGTGTGAAGGACAGGCATACTGCGCTCAACACAAGTCATTGTATTGGGTGGTCTAGATGTTTTAATTGTATTGCTAGCAGATATTTAAAGGAATTTCTAAATAGAGCTTATTGCATTGACTTTTAAAGATTGATTTTTGACTTGACTGAATGTTAAAATGTGTTTTTTATTAGATTGACCTGGCTGAAAAAAAGGAAGCAAGTATATCTCTCTTGTACAGTCCTTATCTATTCAGGAACATCCAGTGTAGTGGGTTTTTTTTTAAATATTTTCAGGAGGCATCTCAAAAAAAAACCCTAACACCCAACCCTGTGGAAAGAACGCTTGGTAGGATGGAATGCAAGAGGAGCAGAGTTATACTGTCATGTATGTACAGTCATCTATTCAGGAACATCCAGTGTAGTGTTTTTTTTTTAAATATTTTCAGGAGGCATCTCAAAAAAAAACCCTAACACCCAACCCTGTGGAAAGAACGCTTGGTAGGATGGAATGCAAGAGGAGCAGAGTTATACTGTCATGTAATAAATACGCTGTTGATCCTCAGCCTTTTCATTCTGCGCTTTGCTTGAGCAAGTTGCCAGCATTCCGTATCTTACAGGTCCTGCCCCTCACCTTTCTGATCTCTTCAGGAACACCACTTCTACCTTCATGCCTTTCTCCTCTGGAGCTGACACACCACTGCTTTGATCCCACTACTGTGTACTTCATCTCTTCTTGCAGAGTGTTGAAAAAGAAGGATGAAACAGAAGATAGAAAACACAAGACAGTCCAAGGGTTCAAAAGTAAAGTTCCCTGGATGTTTGTTTAAGCATTGTCTTAACTGTAGTTCAGTTACTGCTTTTCCTCAGATTTTCTCTATTGCTGTTGATCCAGCTGTGGTCTTTGGGAAAATTAGTGTAGTCAAATTTTTGATACCTCCAAGGTCAGAGATTCCACAACCTTTCCAGGCAGCCAGTTCCAGTGTTTGATCACCCTCATGGGGTAAAATATTCTTTTCCTATTTCTAGTTGGAATTTCTCATGATCTAACTTATGTCTATTGCCTCTTGTCCTATCCCTGCGTACCTTCAAGAACAACCTGGTTGCATCTAGCTTCCCATTGCATGTAGACAGCAGTAAGATTTCCTGTTTGCCATCTTTTCTTAAGGCTCCAGATATGGTCTCACCAGTGATAGGTAGAGAAGACTCGTCTTGAGCTTACTAGCTGCACTCCTACTAATACACCCTAGGAAGCAAATAACCTCACTTTACTTGAGGGATGCTACAACACCACGAGAAATTTAGCATTTATGCTAGGATTCACTCTTGGAATAGGCTATTTGATATGCCTGGTGGTTTGGAGTTTTATGCAGGTGCAGAATTGTTCTTCAAAAACTAATTTGATGTTTCTTTTCAGACAAGACTTTTTTGTTTTTATCATGGGGAAACAAACTCCCAAGTCTTTGTACATCAGTACAATTATAATGAGGCTGCATGCAGCCTACAGCAATAGTTTTGAGAAATTTGAGCTTCCAATTCCCTCCCTCCCCCTTTAATTATCTCAGGGTGCCTTTCTGTTCAGATAATAGTCTTTGTGTCAACAGTAACTTTTTTTTTTTTGGTGGCGCTACTAGTGTTTTTTATCCTTCATTTCAAATTACGTTGATGCTTTTACGGTTGTCAGAAGCCTTCCAAGTTGCCACAGATCTGTCTCCCTGGTGGTGTTGTCAGTACCAGAATTTTTAGGGTTTTGCAAATTTAGAGCCATAATGAAGTCAAGCCTTAGTGTTCTTTACAGTTGAGTTGTTTCCTAATTTTTATCTTTAATTGCATAAAAGCTTTCTTGAAACTGCCGTTAAGATTTCCTTTCTTCATTACATAGAAAATGTAGATATAATCTCAAGTTGTCAGACTAACTGCAAGATTGCTATCTGTGAAGCCACCTAACTGTGTATGTTTACTCTGTGCTTTAAAATCTAAGAGAGCTGCATTTAGTCCTTGATCCTGAAATCGCTGAAAGAACATCACCTGTATTTGTCAGTAGGGAAGGAAAATTGAACCTCAACACTCAACAGCTGGAAATTGTAGATGTTGCTCGTAACAATTCCAAGGATGGAGTAAGAATACTGATGTAAGAGAATACTTGCTGGAAGAGAAGGCTACAAATAGCCAAAAGGTGTTCTGTAAAATCAGGAAAATTATAATTAAAAAAGAAAATAAAAATCTTTAGACAGATTTTGAATCAGCGACAAGATGAAACACAGTGTAAGATCTCTTTTTCCTTCTGGAAATATCTGCATTCAAAATCACAGGGGTTTATACTTATTTTGCTTCCCTTTACCCATGGGACAGATTATTATGTATGTCCTTTTAATGTACAGTTAGACTCATGAAAATATCATTAGAAGTCTGTCATTGAATTCAGTGATATTTGAGCATTATTATTGCTTTAAACATTCTAGAAGGTGCACAGAGATTTTACCAACACTGTAAAAACTAGGAAACCAAGAACTAAGCAGGGGAAAAAAGAATTACCTTTATGAAATACTGTAGAGGAGAAAAAGTTATTAGAAAAAGATATTTGTCTCAAATTGACAGCTAGAGAATTGAAGTATTGTGCAGTCAAGTTCTAGATTGAGAGTCAAGTTATCTGGAAAAGCTAAAGTGGGCTATGCTAGTTGTTTACTAAATTTGCTGATATGTTTTTGGAGAGTCAAGAATACAGTTTTATATGTATAAATTGAGAATTCTGGAGCGAAATACTTAGATTAATTATGAGATACTCTTATATAGAATGAGAATTTGAAGGCAAACCCATGTTTGCTGGAATTGAATAGCTACATGCTGATCAGAGATACGTGGTACACATTGAACGGAAAAAAAAACCAGAATCCTTCCAAATTAGTTTCTCTGCATTCCTTATTCTTTTTAAGAGTGGGCCTTTGTGTGTACAAGTGGAAAAACTGGTGCACTTCCCATAGCTGCGGCTGTTGTAGGACGTTGTCATCTATTCTGTTCTTCCTGGAGGTATGGTACCACTTTCATGTGGAAAAAATTATTTAAAAAAACCCTACAAAACATTCATATCAAAACTCTTCTACCTACTTGTTTGGAAAGATAAATTCTGTTTCTGAGCAAGTCTGCTTTTCAAGCTTAATGGTAAATGCTCTACTTACCTCTTGAATTTCCCCTTAAATATATGGGTAAGTGTCCGTTTGGGGATATTTTTACTCTTACATTACATGTCTTAAAGGGAAGCATACCAATTTAGAAGATTTGTATTTTATTGCAACTGTTAGAAGTTCTATGTTCTATTTCTTCTCCTTTTAGGTGAGAAACCTTTTGAATGTAACATTTGTGGGAAACACTTCTCACAGGTGGGAATATTTTATATTATGGTACTTACACTTGAAAATTAAATGCATTGATTCTAAAAAGATGGTACACTTGAAATGTGTTGATTCTAAAAATTTGGTTTTTAAGTCTATAGTTATTTTTCAAAGACAGATTTGACTTTAGGGATAAAATATTAAAATGTCTTATTTGAAACTAATGTTAAATGTTGTAGCTTTCTTTGATATGTTCTGTACCTTTGATTCTGTCTGCTTTCAGTAGATGTGTTATGTAATTTACCTTCAAATGAATATTTAACCATACAGAGCCACAGGTATATTTGAAATAGAGAACATTCATTTTCAGACTGTGCTTTTGCCTTATGCTTAGGGATATGTTGTGAATAGTAGCTTTTTTATAATGTCTGAAAAAAATACAGGTTAGAATTTTATATAATGTTGTCTTCACGATACATTTTATCTTCCTAAATGGCATAAGTTATTAAGCAGATTTTTTTGAGTCAGTTTCCTTCTGTGAAGAAGAGCAGTACAGTCTGCTGGAGTGACAAAACTCAGCTACGATTTAAAACAAAACTCTTGTGGAATTCCCTACTTACATATGGGGCCTAAGCTTTAGCTGTCTTGATTTGCCTTCCAATGCTTTCTTACTGTTCTGGGTACAAGTGTTCATTTGTATTTCTAAAAATTTTCACAATTTTGTGCCTAGTTATCTCACATTTCCAAATTGTCTATTTGTTTTCTATTTTCTTGGTTGGAATATGTGCACCTAAGTACCGGAGACAATAGACAGGTGCATAGTTTTGTACTAAGATAAATAATTATTATTGAATAACTTTGGCCTTTCTTATGGTTTAAGGATTAGAATGATGTGGTCTTTGTCTGCCCACCCACCAGTGCTTGCCCTTCTCTTGCTTCAGTTTCATAGTCCTCTAGTGGGACTTCTTTGACTCATGAGTCTGATGCAGTTGCATCCTTCACTCTGTTACTAAATACGAATATAGCACTGCATCCAGAGAACAATACCATTTCATCATACTTATCAAACCGTTTGAGCAAAACTGGGTCTGCTTATTAGGCAAAGAAGTGCATTTCCTTCATTTTCATGGCTGAACTTGTAATCATTACAAGGAAAAGCAGATGTTTCCAAATTGTATTAAAAGTACTTTTGGCAAATGGAGTGGTATTCTGTACCATTACTGTGCAGGAAGAGGGAATAAAAAAGCTTCACACATTCTGAGTGTATGACAGGCATTACAGACTCCTCATGCAACATGCATTGCTCCTGTTTAATAAAAACAAAACAACAAAACCTCCAACAAAACTGGAAATTTCTGCCTTTTAATTAGACACTCTTAAA